CAGTGATGTGATCTCGGCTCACCACAACCTCTGCCTCCCAGGTTCAAGGGATTCTCCTGCCTCATCCTCCCGAGTAGCTGGGATTACAGGAATGCACCACCATGCCTGGCTAATTTTGTGTTTTAAGTAGAGATGGGTTTCTCCATGTTGGTCGGGCTGGTCTCGAACTCTCAACCTCAGGTGATTTGCCCTCCTTGGCGTCCCAAATTGCTGGGATTACAGGCGTGAGCCACCGCACCCAACCTGGTTAACTTTCATATTTTTAGTAGAGACAGGGGTTTCACCATGTTGACCAAGCTGGTCTCAAACTCCTGACCTCAAGTGATCTGCCTGCCTTGGCCTCTCAAAGGGCTGGGATTACAGGTATGAGCCACAGCACTGGGTGTATTATTTTCATCCATCCGAGTTTTCTAAGTTTCAGCAGTGAACATATATTTTTAAATCCACTAACGGACTGGAGGCGACGAGCTGCAGAAGTGTCTGTGGGTCGCATTCCCTCAGGGCCCATCCCACCTTACTACTAGTCCCCGACAGGGACCCTTCTGGCTACAGAAGGGTCTTTATTGTTGGGAAGGCTCCAAACTCCATTCTCTACCTTTCTCTTCTGGAGTGATTTGTTTCCCCAACTTTCAGTCTTTTTCACCCTAGGACATAGACCCATGGATTTCTGAGCCTCATCCCACCCCTGGGTTCATCTCTAGTCCCCCGAAGTCTAGTTTGGCCCTGGAACCTGGACTCCTATTTCTTGGGAGGAGGGTTGAGTCTTTAAGAAGCACAAAGCAGTGTTGGACCTGGTCACACAGATAGGTATTCAAATCCCTTGCTGTCTCTTACTGGCTTATGGACTTAGTCATGTTCCTTAGACTCTCCATCTTTAGTTTGTTGATAACACCATGTTATAAAATGAGATAAAGTATGCAAAACAACCATACACAATGGTGCTCAGTAAATTGTTACTTCTTTGCTGTATTTGCTTTATTAAAGGAAAAACTTTTAATAAAACAAATTCAATTTAACAGAGTTTAATTCAGCAAAGAACAATTCACAGATCAGACGGTCCCCAGAACCAGAATAGGTTCAGAAGGACTCCAGGGCTGCCACACAGTCAGAAAACACTGATAGACAGAGAAAGGAAAGTGACAAATAGAAACCAGAAGTGAGGTGCAAACAGCTGGACTGGTTACAGCTGGAACTTTCCTTATTTGAACACAGTTGGCTGTGATTCGCCAAAACTCTGTCATTGGCCAAAGCTCTGTGATTGGTATAAGACTGGGTTACAATGTACACACCCAGTTAGGTTACAGTTTACTATGTACAAATAAACCATTAGGTGAAACTTAAAATATGTTAGGATGTGGCTTTAGGCTAAAATTAATTTAACAGCCTGTATTTCCAAGGAATTTACTAGCAATGCTGGTGTGTTAGGAAACGATGCCTCTTGTTTAGCATGTGGGGCTTAGTGGTTTAAAATTGGAGGGTGGCATGGGGCCAACAGTTGGGGGAGGCAGTATATAGAACCATTTAACCAGGTACCCCAACACCAGGGAAAAGAGGATCCTAGTCTTTTCAAAAATATAAACATTTTACTAAAGGAGGGAGAAAATATTACTTTGAAAGTAAGATGCATTTTCAGGTGGTTGTGCTAGGAATGGCGGGGTTCTTCCAGGGAAGAGAATTGCTTTTTTCATGACCACGTGCTGATGGATAACTAGAGCTGATGCTGCCCCCTGGCGGACATGGTCAGGGGAGACAGTGAGGGAAGTTGTCACGGAGTAAGAAACAACTTTCCCCTCAACTGCTGGGGGAAAAGATGGCTGGGCAGGGGTGCAGATGGGCACACAGTGACCCAGGCATCACATCAGCGGGAGCAGTGAATGGGATTTGAGAATTCAATTAGGGAAGGAATTCAGAGTCACAGTGGACTTCAAATCTCCTTCTTATCCCATATTAGTTATTTCTTAAAAAGTTGGGGTAAGAGCTAGATCTTCTGTTATTTGTGATGGGTGCCTGAGCCGTTTGGGAAAAGGTGACCCTAGCAGGCTGGAGGAATTGGGGACATCTGGGTTGCCTGTGAAAAGCTGAGTAACATAGTCTCCATGTGCTGGGCACCTGAATAAATTACTCTTGAAGGTTAGTCCTGAAGTGTTTCATTTCATTATTGCCCATGGGAGGAGAAACTCTAGCTGAACTTAGTGACCTATGTAGGACTTGGGAAAGGGCTTAGCAGACGTTTAGGGTCTTTGCAATGAATCTGACCCTATAAGTCAACTGCAACTTCTCACTGGTCTATACGTACCTGTCTGGATAAAGGGCTCCTTTGAAGTATATCTGATCATCTCCTCCTTTGGAAATTCAGCAATTTCTCTCCTAGGAGACTGCTACTCATCCTACCTCTCTGAATACCCGTTATGCCTTCTTCCTGCAGCTTGAAGATAGGTCCAGTCCTTGTCCTGGGAGCCTTCCCTTGCCTGACTCCTCGCTGAGAACATATCTTATCCATGCCCAAGGTTGTGCCCCCTTCCATGAGGTGAACGGCTCTCAAGATGAGAGCTTTAGGTCCGGAGTTTTGGGTGCCCATTTCTTCATGGATGTCCTTGGCTCTTTAAACTCACAGTATCTCAGACCAATAAGATGATCCCCCTCCTTCTCATCTAGTTAGACCTCTGATTAGCAGATAGCATGACTGTGTTCCCAGTCACCCGGGCTAGATACTTCACAGTGAAAGGTAACTCTTGTCCTGCCTCATTGCCTGTGTCCTGGCTCTATTACCTCTCCCTGACACGATGAGGGCTCTCAGGGTAATGCAATTCACCTCTGTGTATCTGCTTAGGTATCAGCCATTCCCAAGCCTTCACCTTCAGCTAGATGAAATGCTTCTGCCCATGAAGTTTTACCTTGTTCTCTAGCCCATCATATTGCCCTCTCTTCTGTGACTTTTCATGCCATTGCACCAGCACATTCTTATGTTCTAGAGCATGCTGCCTTTGTATCACACTTACTGATGTCTGTGGACCTTCCTCTACCTACAATGTGAGCTAGTTGTGAGCAGGATGCTTATCTGATCTACCCCCTTCTTCATCTCAGTGACTTGTAGTTATTTAGTCTCAGTAAATGAGAGTTTTCTGGTCATTAGCATATTATGTGCGTTATAATCACTTGCCTGTATCTCCACTGGTGGATAAGTTTCTTTGGGGCTGCACTAAGCATGATTTAGCTTTGTGTCCAGCACATGAACCGAGCACTGTGCCAGGCACAACTAAAGTATAAAATAAATGTTAAATTAAATGGGTGAAGGTAACTTCATTAATCATTTAGTCTTTATTACACCTTAAATAACTATAAAAGTTTAGGATTTAAAAAAATTAAAGGTTTGGCAAAAGCAGATGAGCCTATAACGGAAATGGACAAGGAGAGGCTAAAGATAGAGAAGGAGATTTAGAATGTGGTGTCACAGGTAAGAGTTGAGACGGAGAGAGACCAAATATGAAGACAACTGGTTTAGCAGCACGGAGGTCCATGGAGAGCTACATAGAGCCATTTTTCCTTGGGAGGAAAGGACCAGGAGCCAGAGTGGGGTGCACTGATGAGTGAGTGAGTGGGAGATGTAAAGATGGAGGAAAAAAGTATTAATAACTTTTCAAGAACCTGGCCTATATAAAAAAGGAAGGTAATAGGGGAGCAAAAAGACGTGGGAGCAGGATCCAGAGAGGATTTTCTTTTAAAATGGGGCATCATGAGCATCTTAAAAGCTGATGGAATGGGGAAAACTTCCTGGGAAAAATATAAAACCTTTAATAAGAACTAAGGTACTTAAACATAAAACTAATTATTTTTGCATGATAAAAGCAGGTGAAATATTGGGAAAGAATATTTTTAATCTACATAACAGATATGACACATAATTTGGAAGATCACAAACAGAAGTGCCAAAAAATGTATTTGTAACTGTATTCTACCTGCTTCTCAGCTGTCATTTCCATTCGTAGCAGAAGACAACCACACTAACTGAAGAAAAAATTAGAATATCCCCTCAGTGTTATTTAGTTTTCTGTACTCGTCCTTAAAAACCCAGATTATTGGTTCTGTCTTCAAGGAATCCATCCCTTTTCCATGCTTTCCTTGACCTTTGCACACACCTGCATTGGTCAACATAACACTGTTTGTAATCACATTCTGCACATCTGTGTCTCCAACTTGACCCTGAGTTTGCTGAGAGCAGAGACATTGTCAGTATCCGGTTTATGCCCATCAACTATGTAGACTCTTGTTGATTGATTGTTACCTAAGTTCCCTGTGGGCTTTGGCATTTTGTAATGGTAGGCAGGACTATTTCTGTGTTTGTCACATTCCGAAAAGGAACGTTTTCAGTCCCCTGCTAGCTCCCCTGTTGCCCCTTCTGAGTCAGAGCCCACCTTCTTCAAATACAACTATGCTCTGATTTCTAGCACCATCGATTAGTTTTACCTGTTCTTGAATCTCAGACAAAATCAGCTATACAGCTTGTTTTCTTTTGTTCAACATTAAATCTGTGGTGTCAAAGGTGTTGACGTTGTCAGTAGTTTGCTCTTTTTCCTTGTTGTGTAGTATTTTATTGCATGAATGATGATTGTTTTAATAATAAGCTGGTTTTTTTTTTTCTCTTTAGAGAAAAGGCTTTTCCTAGCTCTGGAATATTATTTAGTCAAGGATATGTTTTAAACGTTTTCCTGTCTTACATGGGTCTCTAACACATAAGGAAAACAAGAGCCCAAGTTTCTTTTTCTCCCTGAAAACACGATTTTTAAAAATTCACAAATGAAAATGAACTCTCTCTCAGTTGAGCTCCTTTCCACGGAGTTGCGGGGAAGTTGGTCCTGCAGGGTTTTGCTCGCAGGGCAGGACGTCCCTGAATGTTACCCTGGACTACGGGAGCAGCATGGGGTGGGCTTCCTGAGCAGCGGGCTCCCTCGCCTGATGCGCGTTTCTGTCTCCTCCCGCCTCCCTGCATCGGCGATTTCCAGTGAGATGAGTCAGAAAACGGCCAAGGAGGGTCCCAGACTCTCCAAAAACCAGAGGTACTCCGAGCACTTCAGCATCCACTGCTGCCCGCCGTTCACCTTCCTCAACTCCAAGAAGGAGATAGTGGATCGGAAATACAGCATCTGTAAGAGCGGCTGCTTCTACCAGAAGAAGGAGGAGGACTGGATCTGCTGCGCCTGCCAGAAGACCAGGTGAGCCGCCCGCCCTCCCCGCTGCGCACCCCGCTCTTCCCGCGGTCGGCTCGGGGTCAGGCTCCGACCCGGAAGGCGTTCCAGGGCGACCGGAAGCTGGGTGGGGGAGCAGGGCCTTCCCGCCAGTTTCCAGCTCCAGCCAGCGTCGCTTAAGCAGCCGAGGAGCGCCCTGGCTCCCGCCTCCAGCTTCTTTTGGCCCTCTCAGAACCAGGCGCCGCGCCACGTCCCCTCAGAGGCCCAAGAAACAGCCAGCTACGCCCCCCGCGGTGGTCAGAGCGCCAGCCAAGCCACGGTCCCCTCCGAGGTCAGAGCGTCAGCCACGCCCCCGCCCAGAGGTCCGACCGCCGCCCGCCAAGCAGCGTTCCCCTCAGAAGGCCAAGCAACCGCAGCGCAGCAGCCCCGTCCGAGGGCCGGGCGCCAGCCGCGGGGGGTCCCCCGTCAAAGCTCCTAGGTTCTGGTAACACCATCTCTTCCCTTGTGCTCCCCCAGCCCTAAGGTTAGTAGCCGTGTCCTGCGTTTACTAACACGGGGCGGTCCCCACGGCCCCTTCCGCCTTGTCGCCAAGCCTGTGACGTCAGCTCCCTGCGTCCAGTCCCCTCCGGCTGACATACCGGGTGTGGCTCCTGGCTTCCCCCGGAGCTCTGGCGCCTGCTCCAGGAGGCTGTGGCCGTTGCGTCCACTGTCTAATGGGACGGGAAGTTGTGTCCATTGAGGCGACTGACCGCGGTGCCAGGTTGAATAAGCGCGTTCCTCCATGCCCGTGCCTCAGGGTGAGGAGGAATGGCGACTCTGACCAGTATCCGTGTGTGTAAAAGGAGACGGTGATGATCCAGCGGACCATCCCTCCGTCTTCGGATGACTCGCTTCATCTGACGTCAGCCTCAGCGGCAGTGCCAATCACCCACGCACTCGGCAGACCCCACTGCACACCGAAGAGTTCCACATGCCGTGCGGGGGGAGGGGGCTGTGGCGGCGAGCCAGCCGCGCGGCGTGGGATTCACCAGGACTAAATTCAGGAGATGTCTTGTTCAAATAAGACGATAGGTGTCGGCTGGGCGCGGTGGCTCACCCCTGTAATCCCAACACTTTGGGAGGCTGAGGTGGGCGGATCACGAGGTCAAGAGATCGAGACCATCCTGGCCAACATGGTGAAACCCAGTCTCTACTAAAAATACAAAAAAAAATTAGCAGGGCCTGATGGTGCGCCTCTGGTCCCAGCTACTCGGGAGGCTGAGGCGGAAGAATCGTTTGAACCTAGGAGGCGGAGGTTGCAGTGAGCCTAGATTGCCCCACTGCACTCCAGCTTGGCGACAGAGCAAGACTCCGTCTCAGAAAAAAAAAAAAAAGAGAAAGGTGTCATCGTGTAGGCATCCGTGTCCTAATGTCCTCATAATATGCATGCACTCTGGACCATGAAACCCATAAGCAGGGAATTACTGGCTCTGCCACAGGTGTTTGGGGCTTTACAAGGGACGTTAGGCTAGGATGAGTAGACAGCAAAGGCAGGGTGACCCATGTAGACAGAAAAGGAGAGCCAGAGGTACACATTTATCTACCCTATTTTAGTAGGCCAGTTTGTTTTTTTTCTTTAGATTTTTTTTTTCTTCTTTTTGAGATGGAGTCTCATTCTATCGCCCAGGCTGGAGTGCAGCGGTGCGATCTCGGCTCACTGCAACCTCTGCTTCCCAGGTTCAAGCCGTTCTTCTGCTTCAGCCTCCCAAGTATCTGGGACTGCAGGGGCCTGCCACCACACCTGGCTAAATTTTTTTTTTGTTTTTAGTAGTGATGGGGTTCTGGTCTCGAATTCCTGACCTTGTGATCCACCCGCCTCGGCCTCCAAAAGTACTGGGATTATAGGCATGAGCCACTGCACCTGGCCTATTTGGCCTATTTTTTTTTTTTTTTTTTTTTTTTTTTTTTTTTTTTTTTTTTTTTTTTTTAGAGCAGTTTAAGTTTCACAGCAAAATTAAGGGGAAGGTACAGAGATTTCCTCTATGTTCTTGTCCCAACACACACATACCTGGCCAATTTCTTTTTCCTACTGTTTTGAAGGTATATCAGCATGCTTGCTTTTTAGTCCCTTTACTATTTGGAATTGAATCTGTTTATAAGCTAGTAGTGGGTGTTCATTGTATTTCAGATTCTTAACGTCTGCTCTGATACCCAGCACTTGTATAGCATCTACTGTGTGTAGATGTCATGTGATGCTTACTGATTTAGTTGGAAGAAGAGTCAATGGGGGAGAATGTTAAAGATGCCCCTAGAGAATGCGGATTTTTTGGTCACTACTAAGGCCCAGATATCTGCATTTTTAGCTGGCATTCACCCCCACAAGATACAGTTACATAGACAGCACACAGACTACACAATGAGCAACGCTGACCTAAATTATCCACAAATGAATATTTCAGATAATTTGTGATATGAAGTAAAGAAATATGGAAAGTGACAAATTTATGGTACCAAAAGTGAAAACATGAAAAAGGCACAAAATTAGGAGAGTTTAATTTGTAAAGGAAGTAACTAGTCACTAAAATTTTAATAGCTAGTTGTATACCAGGTTACATAGTCATTAACTGAGACCCTCTATAGATGCCTGAATAGAAGGGGCCTAGGACAGGTAAGTATTGATATATGGAAGTAGTTAGAAAATACATGAAACAGAGGAAATTAATTGTATAAAAGGCATGTCACCTATGGTGGCTTTGGGTGGCTGGAGTTCAAGCAGGACATGGAAAGGAGTTAGAAGACAATGAAAGCAAACTTCACCATACCCACAGATTTGTCTGGCCCTAACCTAAACTTAGGAGATATCCTAGTGTTGGCGTGCTTTGACTCCTTCAGTTGACTAATCTCAGTGGGTATCAGAGAAGGTGCCTTCACAGGCTGTTATTTTCTCCTCAGCCATGGTCCCTTACCTGGGAACAGAGGATCTGAAAGGCCTCATTAATAATGTCCCATGACTTCACTTATGCACCATCTGAGTCCTACTTGAGATGTTCATTTTTCCTTCTTATATTTCCAAAGGTCTTCAGGTAACGTGTTTGAGGCACTTCTTCACCATATTGCCTATTCCTTTTATTGGTACTGATTGACTGTTTTGAATCAAAGGAGTGAGAGGCAGGTTGATGGGAAAAATTTGCTCTTAAGCAGAGCTACTAACTTGCACATGAAGAAAGAGTAAAAAAGATTTTCTGAAACCAGTTTGCTTTCTGAAATGGTGCTGTTTCTGAGGTATTGCTTTTAGAGGTTAAATAATTTTGGCAAAGGCCTAATTGGGTTCTTAACTCCCTTGAATAGGTCTTCTCAAAAACCAATGAATGATGAAATCTTGGAAACCGATTATATGATTTCCAGCATCCTGATTAAACATGGTAGCATTCTTAATATTGTATAGAAGGAAACCCAGGCATCTCCCTCTTAGTTTATTCTGTCCTCTCAATTCTAAGATTTTAGGATTTCACAATGTCGTCATTGCCTTTGTGTTTAACAGGTATATTGTGGGCCTCTTTTGGTTTCAGTGCTCTGCTTTTGGGAGCTGGGGAATTCGTGGTTCTTTGAAAACTGCTGTGGCTGTGGGTGGTTAATTTGGAGTCAGTCAGTCACATATATGGGGCAGTGCTGTGTGTGCCTTTGACTTATTTTTTTTTCTGCACAGCGTGTTTTATTAAATTGAGCCCTGCACACAAGCAGCCTGGAAGGCTGTAGTTTTCCAAGTCACAGCAGAGCTAGGGAAAAGGCCTGAGTTCTTTGCTTTCTGTTCAGCCTGTGCCTCAGGTTGCATTATTGCTTTTATGAGTTTGGGTGACTGAACTCTTGAATCTTGCCCTACGTATGCCATATAGTCTATCCTATCTGGGAGCAGGCCTTTATACATCCTGGTGGTCCCTATATCACAATGTGTACGCAAAGCAGATGCTTTTGCAGAGGCCTGGGTTAGCCAGAGAGGCTTTCGGTCCTGGGAGCTGTATGTTGTTTTGCAGTGTAATAACCTCTACCTGGTCACAGGTCCTTACCTGGTCCAGACCACATGGTTAACTACTCCCTCTCTGATAGCCTTAACCCAATTGTCTCTCATCCTCCTTCAGCACTCGTTTTATAAATCCCCGATTCTAGATCAAGCTTACAACCTGCCTGCATTGGTTTTTCAACTGCTGAGCATGGTCATGTGTGCACAGAGCTGCTGAGCAGTTTGGGGAAAGCTTTGTAGCCTAGTGGGTTGGTGCTACCACAAATGGATGCACCCCAGCCACTCCCCAGACTGTCCTGGCTCCACCAGCCCCCACACATTCATCAGAATATGTATCTGTCTTTAAATCCTTCTCCTCGGCTTCAGGAGATGAAGCCTTCGTTTTCTGATGAGGCCAGTCCCCCACCCTCCCTGTGATCTTGCTGCCTCTTGTCTCCTTTGGTGTCTTGCTGCACAACTTATCTACCCCACTTGACCACTTCAGCCTCTGTATCTTGTCTCTTTCTCATTAGCATTTCAGCATGTTTTGCTCTCTCATATTGACTGTGTGTTCACGTCTAGCCCTATCCAGTTTTCTTTCTACCTTATACAAATTTAAAAATGAATAGTGTAAACTCGTCATCTTTAGTTCCTCAAATCCCATTTGCTCTTCAATTAATCATGTTCTGATTTCCTCCCATAGGACTTCCTGATCCTGGAATTCCTCTCGTGCAGATTCCTCCAGATGTAATGATGCAAGGGCAAGAAATTTATTTGGGAGGTGAAGGGGACACTACGGGAAGGTGGGAAGTAAGACAAGGAAGTGAAACAGCCAATTAAAAAAAAAGCATTAACCAATTGTCACCATGGGTTCCTGGAGCGTTAGTCCTGCTGAGGATCCCTGGGGAATAGTGTAGACATGTGCATCAGTTATCTCATCGGAGGGGTGGAGGAACTGGGATATTTATAACCAGTTCTTGTCAGTCATTAGTCAGCCAATGCTGCTTTGAGGGTGGGGGCATTTATTCTTTGACACATCTAGCTTATTAGACAGCAAAGTGGGCTGCAGCAGCAAGGTATAAGCCCTCAGGAAAAGAAAGGCAAGTGCCAGCACCTGGAAGTGGGGCTGAGCACAAGAGCGGTAAGGGCAAGGGGTTGTGGGCAAGGCACCAGTAGTGTCTGCTCTGATGGTTACGTGTGACCTTCATGTTGCTTTTCCTAATGAAAGCTGAATCCAGTCTATGTATCAACAGTGCTTTCTGTTGGATTTGTTGGGCTGCTCTCCCATTCAGTCTTTAAACTCTCTGTTCTCTTAGTTTCTGTGACTCTCTTCTTTCTTTTCTCTGCCGGAACTTTCCTCCTCCATCTTGTGAGTGCTTCCTTTTCTGCCAATTGCTTAATCTTGAGGTGCCCTAGGGTTCCATACTGAGCTCTCTACTTATATGATTTTGGCTTCTCTTGTGGTTTTAATTGTGACTCTCATGCTGATGACTTCTAAACCTTAATTCATCCTTGACATTAATATATGAGCCTATTCACTCAGCCTA